CGACAAATGAAAATTTATCAAGTTGTAAAATTATTTTGAGCAAAGTTATATGGAAAGTTCCGCATGTAAGTGTGTTGGATGACATGCGGTTAGACATGCTCAAAATCCTGAAAACCTCAACACCGCTTCAAATAGCATTTCGAAGTTGGGATCTATATGAAAATCCTGGCCTACCAAATAGTAAAAGACAAGCCTGGACTGTGAAAACTTCATCGCAGACTGAGAGCCCGAGATTTGTTATTGTAGCTTTTCAAGTGGATAGAAAAAACAAAATAAACAAAGATAGTAGTAGATTTGACCATTGTTCGTTATCATCTCTAAAAGTATACTTGAATTCGGAATCGTACCCCTATGATAACTTGCGAATGGACTTTTCAAATGATAAGTATGCTGTACCATATCACATGTACACTCAATTCCAAGAGGCGTTCTATGAAAAGGAGATGGCGTGTCCTATGCTGACAAAAACAGAATTCAAGACAACTGCACCACTCATTGTCATTGACTGTTCGAGGCAAAACGAAAAATTAAAAAATGCGCCAGTAGNATGAAAAATTAAAAAATGCACAAGTAGATATTAGATTAGAATTTGAATCTGATGAAAATTTTCCGACCAACACTAAAGCATATTGCTTAATTGTACACGACAAAATGTTTGAATATAATCCTATGACTAATGAAGTTCATAAAATATTATAATTTGTTTTTTTCAAAAAATAATGTAAAAGATTTTATTTTTAAAACACTAATGATTACTTAAATATATATTTTGATTATTAAAGAAAATGTGTTTTTTATTTTAGTACCTTATCCTTATTATATTTCATTTATTTATTACATAAATCAAAAGCAGATAGAATAAATACTATGTAAAAAATAAATGCATATGAGAGTGATCGTTACTGTACGATGATACCTTTGATGTTTGAAATACGCTTACCTAAGCTTCTGGTAGTCGATGATAAAATTCTTAGAAATTATAGCTATACATTTAATAATACACAGACAGCGCCACAATTGTTCTCATATCAAATTACAGACGCTTATGAGCGATATAATATTATGATACCTTTGATGTCGGAAATATGCTTACCTAAGCGTCTGGTAGCCGATGATAAAATTCTTAGAAATTATAGCTATACTTTTAATATTACACAGACAGCGTCACAATTGTTCTCATACAAAATTACAGACGATATAATATAATGATACCTTTAATGTTGGAAATATGCCATGTGGTGTCATTTTTATCATAAAATGCAAACGACAGTGATCGTTACTGTACGGTGGTACATTTGATGTTGGAAACATGATCACCTAAGAGTCTGATAGCCGACAATAAAATTCTTAGAAATCATTTGTACATTCGATGTTAGAAATATGCTTACCTAAGCGTCTGGTAGCCGATGATAAAATTCTTAGAAATTGTAGCTATACATTTAATAATACACAGACAGCGCCACAATTTATCTCCTATCAAATTACAGACTATTATGAGCTATATAATATAATGATACCTTTGATGTTGGAAATATGTTTACCTAAGCGTCTGGTAGCCGATGATAAAATTCTTAGAAATTATAGCTATACATTTAATAATACACAGACAGCGCCACAATTTATCTCATATCAAATTACAGACTATTATGAGCTATATAATATAATGATACCTTTGATGTTGGAAATATGCTTACTTAAGCGTCTGGTAGTCGATGATAAAATTCTTAGAAATTATAGCTATACATTTAATAATACACAGACAGCGCCGCAATTGTTCTCATATCAAATTACAGACTATTATGAGCTATATAATATAATGGTACCTTTGATGTTTGAAATACGCTTACCTANGATACCTTTGATGTTGGAAATATGTTTACCTAACCGTCTGGTAGCCGATGATAAAATTCTTAGAAATTATAGCTGTACATTTGATGTCGAATATATGCCATGTGGTGTCATTTTTATCATAAAATGCAAACGACAGTGATCGTTACTGTACGGTGGTACATTTGATGTTGGAAACATGATCACCTAAGAGTCTGATAGCCGACAATAAAATTCTTAGAAATCATTTATACATTCGATGTTAGAAATATGCTTACCTAAGCGTCTGGTAGCCGATGATAAAATTCTTAGAAATTATAGCTATACATTTAATAATACACAGACAGCGCCACAATTGTTCTCATATCAAATTACAGACGCTTATGAGCGATATAATATTATGATACCTTTGATGTCGGAAATATGCTTACCTAAGCGTCTGGTAGTCGATGATAAAATTCTTAGAAATTATAATGCCATAACGACAAACGATACCTTTGTTCTCATAAAATTCATACGATAATTATTATTACTTATGACGACATCTTCAATATTAAAAAAATATGCTTACCTAAGCGTCTGGTAGTTGATGGTAAAATTCTTAGAAATGATTTGTACATTTAATNTAAATTTTTATTATATTTGTTGTATTTTCAATGTATTGTTATTAAATTCAGTTAAAATATTCGCGTATTTATTCGCAAAAAATTATTTTTTACAAATACAAAAGCAAATTAATTCAATTTTATAATAAAGTAATCTTACGTTACTGAAGACAAATTAAAATAATTGATAAAAGTTAATCGTTTTGGAAAAATGTTTTCATTGCCGAAAAAATGTATAAAATAATAATAGGTTTATAATAAAATCGGGTTTTTCGTTAATATGAACCGATATTATTATTCAAAAAAATTAAATGTGTATTAAAAAAGAATAAAAAAGTTTAAAATATATCAACTACATATTTTTAGTTATTAAAGTTGATTTTTTATAATACGAGTGAAAAATTATAATACGAAAAATGGCGATTTTAACACCGCGAAAACAATACTTTCACCAATGGACGATTTCGCCATATGAATCATAGTTATTCTAGAGGATAAACGCGTCTGTTAATAACGAATCGATCATCCGGTCGAACTATTCGGGGAGATTATCGTTTCCGCCAAACCTGAATAAGGTCGGTTTTCCGTTTCCGCCAAACTGATCTTAATATTAATTAGCAAAATAAAGTAATTTTTTGTCCCATCACTATCAAATGACATTCGCCCCCAAGAATTGTTGGCCTCCTTAACCACCCCTAAATATGATCATGTAGTTTTAAATAATTACTTATTTTATCATATTGGAATAACTTTATAAAGAAAATATGACGCTTTACCTAAGGTAAATAATTTATAATAGATAACTATTATAAGTAGGTTTATATATAACTGTAAAAAATAATAAAAATATAGTTGCGGATTTGCTCCTGCTTGTCCCCGCCGTTAAAAAACGGTGGAGGAAGGGGAAGAAGAAGAAGAAGGGAGTGGCAATGGACACTGCGTGTCCAATTGCGGACACCTCGGCGCCCTTGCCATTCAAAGTCGCGGCCCCTAGGTCGGCGTCATCTGCTGCAACCGCTCCATCACCCACCCAGGACACCTAATGAATAGAGGTGGTGAAGCAGAAGGGAGCCAAAAAAGTGGAACGGTTGACTACGGCTCCCAAAGCGGAGGTCCCTGGGGGGACCAAGGCCAAGCCGCCGCCACCGTCACTAGGCCCGACTGGCGCCCAGTTTCAGGCCAAAGTCCTGAAGACGGAGGCGGTGGTGATTGGGCCACTCAAGGAGGGTCAACAATACGCTGTGGTCATTAAGACCGCGATTTTTGCTGTTGACCTCAAAGCCTTGGACCCCCAATTGGCGGGCACCAAGAGGACCCGAACAGGTCTCGCCCATATCCTTGTGGGATGAGACACCTTTTTTTTTTCTTACAACCGGCATTATTGTGGGCCGCCCGGGAACTGCCGTGAGGCATTACTTCAGGGCGGCCCACGCCGTCTTAATTATTTACACCACCACGTTGCGAATCAGCCCAAAATTAATCAAGAGCTAATTCGCAACGTGGTGTGGCCCCCTCTCGTTAACCGAATCCCGCAGTGGGAACCGTTAGGAAGGGTTGGCGAAATAACTCACAAACAAAGACACAAAAACAAGAACAAGAATCTAAGGCACCGGCCTAAACCAGCGCCTCAGGTCCTCCTGTGCCGGGCGGCGTTGCTGGCTCTGTCTCAGGCGTTCTGCTTCCTCCTTCTTTAATAAGACTGATTCGGCGAACGCCTGGACGAGACTCCACGCCTCCTGACTCCTCAACATCTGGTCCACAATAGACCCAACTCGGAACATGGACCCTAGTCGAGACTTCAAAGAGTCACGCCTCGCACCGGAAGAGAGTGTGCAGAGCGCTATCAGCCTCTCCCGGGCATTCCGAACAGTGGTCGCACGTCAGCGCGGCTGCTTTACGAATACGGTGTAAGTACTCGTTAAAGCAGCCGTGGCCGGACATCACTTGGGTGAGACCATAAGTCATCTTTTCGTAAGTCCGGTCCACCCACCTGTCCAACCGATCGGGTCCTATGAGGGACCTGGTCACTCGCCTCTCGTCGTTTCCTCCTAGAAGCGAGTCCGCCTCCGGAGCATGGTCATCCGCCTGAGCGCTAGCCATGAAGGAGTGAACTTGTACCTTCCGCTTCGGTCTTGTCCAGGGCTAGGCTCAGTCCGCTCCCCTCCTGCTGGATCCAGGCGGTGACTGCGCTGAGCGCGCAGTTTGCACGAGATCCAGCCTCCTCAGACGAGGCGCCTTCTGCCATCACTAACGTGTCGTCCGCGTAGCAGTCGACGCGCACGTGCGATGGTAGCGAAACGCGGAACACCGCATCGTACGCGATGTTCTACAACAGAGGCCCGAGAACTGACCCTTGCGGGACGCCTCCCGTAACAGGTCTGAATCTCGGGCTCGCGGCGCTCTCGTAAGACCCGGGTCGTAAGACACGGGTTGTAGTCCACTGACTTCACGAGTTCGGCCCAACATTTCGCTATGGCCCGCCAGATGGCGAGCTTCAGCTCTTTGCGGGCCGACCTCAGCGCCTCCCTCGGGTCCGGGGATTCGGGGTTATAACTTTTTGAAAAATGTATGGATCAATACAATTTTTTTATGAGAAATAATATTTATATACTTCTTTCATTTGACATACTTTTTTTTTAAATCGGACCATTTCCCTTAATACAGGAGGGATTCAAAACATAAAAATGCATATAGAAAGTAGAACTTTTTCAACTTAATATTTGAAAGTGTTCCGGAGGAAATACTAACACTTTTATATATATCTTAAATTAAAGCTTATGTAATAAAATTTAATATTTAAAAAAAAAACTTCGGACTTTATTTTGTCTTCATGGTGAAAATAGCAACCGTATTCAAAAATATGCTATTTTTATGTTAAAATTCTTGGTTTTGTATTTTATTTTATTAGAAGAGGATTACACTGATTTTCATAAATATTATATCAATCTAATTGTCATAGTATAAAAAGTTAAACATATTTAAATTATATTGTTTCTTAGAAGTCGAGAAAAATAACTTTAAAATTTGAACTATCTAAATTTCCATTTTTATTAAGTGACGAATTCGAGGTACGATTTCTGAGACAGTAACACTGTGTCACTGAATTTTTTCTTAATTCTTTTTGAGTTAGAAAAAAATGTTTAACTCATTTGATTTTTATTTCATTTAGATTCAATAACTTCAATAAATATCATGAATACCATTACTGTAGTCTCCTCTCGTGAGAAAAAATTCTTATTAATATTATTTTACTATGTGGTTTTTTTTTTTGTAGCTATCATTTATTTTCTCAGCTTTCACTTGATCTACTTTTTATGTACAACATGAATCATCCCTATTCTACCCCCTTATTAATGTTATGTATATAGCACCTTCTTTCTTCTTTTTTTATGAATATATATTTTAAAATGATACATATAAATTTTCAAAAAAAAATGTTATATTATACGTAACCTTTCTCCTTTTATTAATATTTATTTTTTTTAAATCAAAACCTAAAAAATCCGTCAACAAGTACTATCTTGCTTGGCTCGACTACTAGGTCACTGTCCAGTGTTTCACCTGGGTATATAATACCATAATGGGAAGATCAGGGGCCATTGTTCCCTAGTAATTCAATCGTAAAATTGCTTGGGTTCATTTATCACGGCAAAAACCGAAAACTCAAACTTCGCATCGAAACATCCGCTGACGAGGCCGAAGAAAATATTGTCGAGCGTCCAATATATATAACATAATGTTGGTGTGTCGGCGGTAAAACGACTGTGTCGTCCCGAGCACGACGAGCGCTTTACGGGATTGTTGGTTTTGTCGACCCGAGTATCCGTCCGCAAATCTATACACGTTGTGTTTGACTTTATTGTTATTATTATTATTTTTTTTTAACAATACGCGTTATTACGGCGGTTATTAAGGCCACTTATTAACGAGTCGTTGTACAATTAAAAACTTATAATAAAATTTCTATAGTGACAACACCAACACGTTGTCGGTCGCACGATTACATTCATAAACGAGGAGCAATCGAGTGAGAATGTATTTTTTATTGAATTTCCAGTTACTTACAAAAGTAAGAGAGAAGAGATCTACAGATTATCATTATATGAAGTGTATAATAAATGTTGATAATAAGGTACTCTAAAGTGATAATGATATAAAAAAAAACCCAGTACAGGGGGGTCACGGCACAGTGGTGCCGTGGTATAGTTGGATCAAGTATAATGATATCTGACAGTGATTAAAATCACTATCAAAAATAAACGCTTCGATGCAAATCTTTAGATAGTGTTTAATTTTAAAAAATTGGTGGATTATTCCAAAAGCTTCATAAACTGCTAGTTCCTTATTAATATCCTGATTAAGATAAAGTAAGTCGAATGAAAAAAGGAATATTAAAAAATAGCATTTCCCATAAAAAAAATTATATTGATCAATACACTTTTCAATAAGTTATAGCATTATAAAGCTAAAAATATAAAAAATAAAATTGAGAATTTTCACAAAACAATAGCATTTGGTAGCCATTTAAACCGTGAAGATAAAATAAAGTCCGAAATTTTTTTTTTGCATAATAAATTAAATTACATTAGCTTTAATTTAAGATATATATAAAAGTGTCAGACCTTCCGGAACATTTTCAAAAGTTAAGTTGAAAAAGTTGTCATTTTAAATCCCCCCTTGTGGGCAGGTTAAGGGTTAAATTTATGAAAAAAATATACTAAATGAAAGGTAATAATATTATGCATCTATATAAAAAAGAATTATATTGATATGTTCATTTTTGAAAAATTTATGGCACTTTTAAGTAAAAAAAATTGAAAAAATTTCGAAAATAAGCGATTTTTAAATTCGTAATTTTTTGGAGGTTTCCCCCATTACGGGGAACGAGGGAATTTTTTTCAATTTTTGTGGGTAATGTCTTCGACTAGATACAATTTGTGATCTTTTGACGTATCATTGAAAGAAATCGGTTCGGTGAGAGCTGAGAAAAAGTGGTAACAGACACAAAAAAAAAAAACACATCTTAGTAAAACCAATACCTTCTCAGTTTCGCATCAAAGCTAATAAAGATGGAAAGAATATTTTGAAAAATTACTGAATGTGGAGTAACAAAAAAAGACATATGAGGATATCTCGTAGAATAAGGGATTGGTAGATTTAATTAGTGAGAAAGAGGTATAGGAGGCTGTGGCATCAATGAAAAAGAATAAAGGACTAGATTAACTTCCAGCTGAAGTATGGAAAATATCAGGCAGTGTTAGCATAAGGTGTTTGAAGGAACTTTTAAATAAAATCTTATTAGAAGGGAAAATTCTGAATGAATAGTATTATGATGCCAACATTTAAACGTAAAGGTAACATACAAGAGAGTGGAAATTATAGAGGCATAAAGCTTATGAGTTATAGTATGAAAATTTGGGAAAAGGTATTAGATAAGAGAACAATAAATGAAACATCGGTATCTAACGGAGCCAATATTTTGTATAAAGCAACTAATAGAAAAGTATAGGGAAAAGAAGAAATGTATGGTATTTATAGATTTGGAGATAGCGTATGATAGAGCACCGAAAGTGGTTTTAAAGTGGGCATTAATGAAAAAAGGTACATTAATATAATAGAAGATATGTATGATGGCACTTGTACCAGGGTAAAAAGTGTGGGAGGAGTAACAGAAGTTTTTCGGGTAAGAATAGGAATGCATCTAGGTTCTGCTTTAAGCCCTTACTTATTTTCTATAGTGATGGATGAAATTACTAGAGAAATACAAAGAGAGGTGCTGTAATGTATGTTGTTTGCTGTCGATATTGGGTCAATAAGAGAAAATAGGGAGGAAATTAATCAAAGGCTAGAGGTGTGGAGATCAGCTCTTGAAGAAAAGGGTTTAAAAATAAGTAAAAGTACCACAGAGTATATAAAGTACGAGTTTGACAAAGGAGAACACGAGATAGTTGAAATGAGGAGACCAGTGACAATACGTGATTGGAGAGGTAGGAAGTTTTAAGTATTTATGATCAGTTGTACAAAAGAGCGGATTGAATTTCCAGTTACTCTTTCACGTCGATCGCGCAACAAGTACGATGTTGATACGGCGTATCAATGTTTATATATATATATCGATATGGATTGATCCTGTTATTAAAATAGTCGATTCAAGTCAGATGTGTTTTGAAAATATATATATATTTTTATTAAGAAGAACTAAAAGCGAGAACGACTCTCAATACAGTGATAGAGCAGGTCTATCGTAAAGTTTAATACACGATAGGGTTGTGTTTATGTTCTAATAGCCAACGTTTTCGCTTGCGATTCAATGACCGTTCTTTCTCCGGAATGTCAAAATGTAAGCTTGCCCTTTCAAGTTGGTCACCATCGAGTTGGCGTCGTAAATCCTGACTTTCACTTTGAACGAGTATTCCCACCATTTCTCCGTAGGCGCAAACGCCATTGGAATTACGCTTTTGGAATACGTCAGATTTTGTACTAAGTAATCGCCCTGCAAAAGTCGTACAACACATTTCATGGTTAACAAATTGAAAATATTTCCAACGTGGCTATTGTATTCAATAGTTTTTTGTAGTTAGTCGACTAGCAAAAGGTGTATTTTTTCATAACAAAAATTATTAGTTATTATTATTATTGGATGTATTTTATTTCTTTTATCTCGGACTGTCGACAAATCTAACGTTTACCGACTGCATTTGAAGACAAATCGGTTAACGTTCCGACTGCGCTGTCCGACAATTTGTGAACGATTCGTCTCGTCGACGACGACAACAAAAAACGCTATTGACAAGGCGGATACGCCGAACACGTACTTTTTTGACTTATAAAACAATCGCCGCGTTAACGATTCGATCGAAGAGCGCAATCGAAATAAATCTGATATTTGCAACAGGTAATTTCGGGGCGGGCCGACGATGGCGTCGACTCGCGATTGTTGTCGTCAGCTACTGTACAACAGCGGCAGCGGTGCGCGTTACAAAAACTACAAAAAAATAGAACTAGAAATTCTATAGGAAATCTTCAATTCGAAGGTGTTGATTTTAACGATTAAACGTGTTCCGTAAACGTTTTGTAAATGCGTTAGACGCGGATTCAGCGGTACGGTCGAAATCTGAACGATCCTATTAGTGATAGGTTCTTGAAAAATTCATATCGCGCGCTCGTCCTCGTTTCGTCACGAATCAAACGAGAATGATTCTCCGACCGTTCGACACATTTTACAGAAGACGCCGCCGCCGCAGAATAATTTACCGGGACGCCCGAAACATATCGACAGTCAGTTAGAAGCCAAAAACCGATCCTCACCCCCGTACGCGCGGTCTAGAAAAACGCCAGTCCTTCTCATCCGCGAAGTTTATGCGAAAACGTAATTTTTTTACCGAAAACGATACTCTGAAAGGATTAAGAGACATGAAAAAATTAATAAAATAATTTATAATAATATAAAGTAAATTTTATTGTTTGAATTGAAATGTTAAACGTTTATGTTGAAAAATTGTTGGACCTTCACCGCAAAAAAACGGACCACGACGAACCATTCGACTTGCCCTAAATAACGATTCTAGTTTTTCTAGGATTTCGTTAGAACTCCCCTTTGGCCGCGGGAACACCATCGCCGGTCGATAAAAACTCAAATTCAAATCGAAACAAGAGAAGGTATTGGTTTTACTATGGTCTGTTTTTTTTTTATTTATTTATTTTTTTTTTTTTGTCTGTTACCACTTTTTCTCAGCTCTCACCGAACGGATTTCTTTCAACGATACGTCAATAGATCAAAAATCGTATCTAGTCGAAGACATTACCCTTAAAAATTGAAAAAATTTCCCTCGTTCCCCGTAAATGGGGGAAACCTCCAAAAAAATTACAAATTTAAAAATCGCTAATTTTCGAAATTTTTTCAATTTTTTTTACTAAAAACTGCCGTAACTTTTTCAAAAATGAACATATCAATATAATTTTTTTTTATATAGATGNAATGAACATATCAATATAATTTCTTTTTTATAGATGCTTGATATTTTTATCTATCATTTGGTATATATTTTTTGTAAATCTGACACTTAACCTGCCCACAGGGGGATTTAAAATGACAACTTTTTCACAAAAAATTAACTTTTTCAACTTAACTTTTGAAAATGTTCCGGAAGGTCTGACACTTTTATATATATCTNAACTTTTGAAAATGTTCCGGAAGGTCTGACATTGATTCGCGTACATATGTTTTTTTTTTTTTTTAAATTGTTCGCTAATGGTTATTTTGGCGTTAAAGCATAAAATAAAAAAAATATATATATATATTTTATTTTTGATTTGGAATCGTGCGTTAAAATAATAATAATAATTTAATAATAAAACTTACTTTGAAAGGACATTTGATTTCTCGATTCTTGTAACCTATTGAAATAAAAAAAAATGCTGCGTCCAAACCAGCACATATGTTTTTTAATTCCAAAGATCGATGATCTGCGCAATCGATAAAATACTCTTTGCATTTTATTAACTCTCCTTCTACCTAAAATATTTCAAAAGAAATAGTATTTAACGTTTTTGATATCTAATATTTTTATACTCATGCTGGTAAAGTCAAGGACTACTTATAAACACGTCAAGGGCCGAGCCGAGTTTAAAAAACATATCACTTTTTATAAGGTCTAAAGACCTTTTTTGACATAAAATCATTTCATTATTTCTTAAGTTTAAAGAAATTTCTTAAGACTAAGCGAAATGTTGAGTTTGGTTTCATATATATAATTTTTTTTAAATAAGGAATCTTCATTTGAAAGGAAAAAATGTAATTGAATCGTAACTTTCACTCTTATAGAATTGACAACTCGTGTTGTAATGACGACTTAATTTTAGCCCTACGTAGCTAAAATAGTATTGGATTTACTCCATTTTTGCCTTCAGGTCCACTATTAACTTAACTATCATAATTTAATAAAGTTCCCTTAATAATCTTAATCAACAAAAATCTTTTAATTGCGTGAAAATCTTCAATATTCACGTGTATCTTATTTTTTATTACTTTTAATAATTATCCCTAGTATTAAGATAATGGTCTTCGACATACTAATTTATGTCTACTACTGGTGACATCAAATAAAATACATTTTGTTTTATGTACAAGGTATCAGCATATTATATTCTACAACAACACTTTATATTTTTGTATATATCTATATATATTTTTTTTATTATTCGATGATTCGTTTTATTGCATCATAGTGTATACTATTTAGTTTAATCTTGTTTTTTATTTTCTTAAATCCACTTATGGTCCGGGTGTTGTTTTTCACGATCGAGACCCTCGCCTAAGTGGTTAACGACCCGACTTTCCTTATTGCAAGAGAGCCATCAGGATGGCAACTCCACAATCCGTTGTGTGGCCCAAGTTGTCACCTCTCAGTGTTTTTTTTTATTTTTTAAATCGGTAAACCAATTTCATATAATCCTAATGAATTAACTTTCTTTAACGGTTCGTCGCAAGACCATTAAAAGCCGTATCTAGACGAGACTAGTTATCGCCTAATAATAGTCGGATAAATTCTCTGTAATCTCAAAAAAATAATAATAATAATCCGAAAACTTACAATTGTTATAAAACAATCGACGTATAAAAATATACACTAAAAATACTTAAAACACTTGCCACGCTCAAGACGTAGTTTTTATAATCAAGCGTATGACTCAAAGGATTATATAAATGGATTAAATGAATGGATTAAATGAATGGATTAAACAAATGGATTAAATGGTTCCATTTCTATTGCACTCGGTATAGATTACTAATATGTCAGTAGCTTACGCGATAGGGTGTTAGGACAACGCGAAGGCTGAAGTTCAACTGCACGTATTGTACATCGCGAAATTGCTTGACTTCAAAGTGTAACCAATTGAAAAACGAATCGTTCTGAATCAATTCGTAGCTGACGACGCGCATTTCGTGTCTCACGGGATTGGGATTTCCTAAAAGCTAAACGTTTCTTTCTTTATACACGCGGTACAAAACAAATATATGTATATAAAAAAAAACGGCATACCTGAAAATTAGCCAAAATAATAAGACTAAGTTTTACCGTCAACACTATCAATAAGTAACGCATTTTGACGTTCACGTACTTGCCGTTCGTACAATTGAAAAAATAATAATGACTACGAATCGTCCAACGTAGCATATTTGACAATATATATGTTTAATATATATATATATATATATATGATCATATTCTTTTGTTCGCGAACACGAGTTTTCGTGTAGTAGTATCGTTCTTTTATGAAAAAAAAAAAAATGTACGGAAGTCATTATCGTTTAAAAATTTTACGCGGAGGGTGAGGTGTAGCCTATTATTGTTTATAATTAGGCGTTTGTCGGCGGCGCTTCTGTTTTGTACTAGAGACGGACGTAACGCGTAAAAATTGGATGTGTTGTACGTCATTTTATATTTTATAATCGTAACACCTCATCACGACATAAGTAAATTTTAAAATAACGATTGTTACGATTCGGTTTTTTGAGCTTTTTCCTGTACTCGTAACGTGTATAACGTATATTTATATATTATGTATAAAGTATTATGTATTTACATATATATATATATATATAATACATAAATATAAATTAAATACCGATGAAAAATATAAACAATTTAACGCGATTAAAACAACCAACATTTTTTTTTTTTGAACATAAAAATATGTTTTTTAAATATTTTTTTTTTGCTTTAAGAATAAATACGCATATAGCATTTTTATACGCACATTTATTGTGTCTGCGGAGGGGGGGTAGTTGCTGGCGACATTCGATGTAAATGGTGTACAACGAATGTGTCCGACAACGTTGGTGGTAATATGTAAATGGAAATATTGTTTTGTCGAACTTTTTTTTTTTTTCTTAACAATCGCCGTCTCTCGACATCGTGTTTAAAATCAATTTTTTTTATATTTTCCACCAATAACAACAATGAAAAATAATTTTTTCTAAAAACCTCAATACGTGTACGCCGATGTCGAGTTGCACCCACTCCGCACTGCGCACCCGATTTGTATGCGTCGAAACGTTACCCGACCAGCGCCAAAAGTAAAACTAAAAGGCCGCGGAGTCGTCGACGTTTGGAAATAATTTTAAAAGTCTCGACCGCAGCCACTGCGCGACATTTACGCGTCTGCTTTGTCGAGAACAGGCCTCCGACTGACAGAGACGGGACGCCTTTTTATAGCGTTTCTCCGAACAATCGTCATCGTGTAGTTCTCGCGACGTTGTTGTTCATTTGACGAGCGAGCCACAAAACGCAATAAACACCTACACAAAAAAAACCTATATTAGGGTTTTCAAGAGATTTTTTCAAAAAAGTCAAAATACAAAAATAACCTTATTTTAATACTACGTTTTAAAGTGTTAATGACTTCCGTTCATTTTTTTTTTTTAAGCAAAAAAAAAAAGTATTCAATCGGCGGAATTTAATAGCGGTGATATCAATTTAACGCGCATTTCCCTACACCCAGAGAAAAACCTCGATCTATATAATAAATTCATTGTTCAATTTGATAAATATATCATTACTATTGAACCTATGATATATTTATCAATATGATAATTTTTTTTCTTGTCTTGAACAATAATTATTTATAAGAATAGTTATTTTGTTCGTATTAATAAAACATTATCATAAACCCTTGATAAAATTTCTCTTTCAATTTTGATTGAGGTTTTTCTTTGGGTGNTGAGTATAATTATATTTCGTTACGTTTATAATTACCGTTTCAAAACGTGCAAACATTAAGTACAAAAAAGAAATTTTACTTTTCTTAATTTGTAAAATAAAACTTTTAATACTTGACCATTTGTGGGAAAATCAACGCCAACAATTTGGTTTTCGTAATTACCAATTAGACCATAACTACTAGAAAAAAACAAAAAAACATAACTACTAGATCTTTTGGCCATTATAAAAATTATAAAATAGTTAATTACGTAAAAGTAAAAAAAGCAATATAAGTGATGAAATATAATAAAAAGATTCAAAGATAATAGTAGCTTGCTGTACTACATAGAATAAAATTAGACTTGAATAACGAAAATGTTAAAATATTATATTTAACATATCATGGTTATAGGTAGACCTCTTCAAATATAGATTTTAGACTAATACTATACAAGATAAGATAAACATTTATTGATCTTGTCTATGATTAAATGCGAATATGGTCATGTGTTGATTGAGTATTATAAAACTAAAATTGATTTAAAGAAAAGTAACTCGTGATACAGGAGAAATACTATAAATAATCAGATAATTAAATTTAAAGTAAAAACAAAGAGATATGTAAAATTAAATATTAACAAATTTTGTAAAGCAAAATTCTTTTAGCTTCGATGCGAAGCTGAGAAGATATTTATTTTACTAAGATGTGTTTATTTTTTTTTTTTTAATTTAAAGCTATTTTTTAAATTTTATTTCATTTTTTATGATTTATTTAAACTAATACTCGTTCAATGCTATAAAATTCAACTTAATAACTGAATTAATTTATATTCAAGTCAGTATAAACATTTGAAAAGGTTATAATAAAACGTTGAAACTATTAAAGTAACGAAGTATAAAAAATTAGCTGATAAATTATTTTTGTGTTATCATTATATTTTTTGTAAAAAATTCAATAAATTTTTAAACAAATGAATTTTCAATAAAAATATAGATGACTTTATTACTATTGAATCAAACAACTTTTTTAAACGTTTTAACATAAGCATGGATTTTCTAAACATAGATCCTAAAACATAAATTAATACATTTATCATTAACCACTCGAGTTTTCCTAAAATAACAAAACTGTATATATATATATACATATATTATTTATTATACTAAGTGAAACTGACAACTTGTGTGATTTTTAATACAACTAAAAGTTCGCTGTAATTTTGTTTTTTAATTTTTTACATTTTCAGACTGCGCTAAATTTATATTTTTTTAAGGTTACAAGAGCCGTTAGTTAGATGTATTCCACAGTGTATCCGACCCTGTAAATCTAATAGACTCGTAATGTTATAAAAGTGAAACGCATTAAAATTTTTTTTCTTTTTTTGTACTTAATGTTTGCACGTTTTGAAACGGTAATCATAAACGTAACGAAATATAATTAGGGAAACACGCGCGTTAAATTGATATCACCGCTATTGAATTCCACCGATTGAAATCTTTTTTTTTTTAAAGCAAATAAAAAAATGAACGGAAGTCATTAACACTTTGAAACGTACGCCGAAGGTGAGGCATGTTTTATGATTATTATCGTTGGGAATTCCTCGGACGGGTTTCTCTTCGATAATATGTACGCGAAAACATTCACGATTTCCGGATTCGAGAGACGTCTCGTCGGTCAATTGTTTCCCTAAGGAAGCGTTTCGAACAAACGCGAAGCTCAGAAAGTATTCATGTTATCACGACGTGTTTATTTTTTTGTGGCTATCGCTACTTTTTTTCGGCTCGACTTTGCTCGAACCAACGGCAAGAGATCAAGAAAAACGTGTCCAGTCGAAGACATTGTAAATGGTGAAAATCCGCCGAAACGATTATGATTTTTTTGGCAAATTTCGACGTGTAATTAATTTTTTTTTTTTTTTCTAAAAATCGCTATGACTAGACATGACGAATCAAAATAATTCATTTTTACAACGAAACATATTTGTCCCGACGACTTGTCCTCTACTAGAAAACGACTGCCGCCGTATTTAAAAAACGTGCGATTTTCGTGTATAAAATTTTCGATTTCATATTTCGTTCCTTTGACTTTAAATGGCTACGACCTTTTCAAAAGTATATGGATCGATACAATTTTTTTTTTCATAAATACTTTTTGTGCTAAACATAAACATTCTTAAGCTTTAAAAAGTAAACATTAAAGGTATGTTGTTCGACGTACCTTTTTTTTTTATTAAATAAGACCGTTTTCCCCTATACAAGGGGGCGGATTAAAACTCGATATATACATAACAATACATTTTATCTCAATGTAAAAATCATCGTTTGACGTATTAAGATATTCAAAACCGCCATGACTTTTTGGAAAACGAACGAATCAAAATGATTTTCTTTATATTGAATCCTTTTGTATATCCCTTTTATGAGTTATACATTTACGAAAAATCTCACACTTATGAATCCCTACCAGAGGACAGGTCTTATGGGGGAAGGTTTAAATACTATTAATACTTATCCAGATAATAGTAGAATAATCTTCAAAACATTTTATTTCTTATAATATTATATGAGATAAAATTATTATGTATTGTTTAAATATATACACATTAATAAAAAGTTATAAAATGATTTTAGCTTCGATACGAAGCTGAGAAGGTAATAATTTATATATTTATTTATTTTTTGGGTCTATCACAACTTATTCTCAGCTCTCACTGGACCGATTTTTCTAAACGATACGTCAAAAGATCATAAATCGTATGTAGTCGAAAATAATTTTTCTAAACATTTCTATAACATATTGAAAAATGAACGAATTGAAATAATTACTTTGTTATATTGAAACCTTAGATTTGACTCTTTCTTTTGGCATAAATTTTTTGAAAATCTGACTCTTTACCTGGCCACAGCGGAATTAAAAATAGCGACTTGTGCACAAAAATTTAACTTTTTCAACTCGAGTTACGAAAACGTTCTGGAATTACTACGAACTTCAAACGCGAGTTAAAAAAAAGCTCGTGTCGTGCCCCGGAAGTCAGAAAAAAAAAATTCGTCCCGTAAGACTATTTTCTACGTGTAAACGGCCGTCGGAATCGAACGGAAAACGCAATTAAAAAACCCGCTATTATCGTGTGTCGGATTTTTTTTGTTCATTTTAAAACCGAAGATTCGCCGTAGTGACGAGTCCGCCGATTTTCGTAAAATCAACGGGTAACGTGTCGTGTACGTTGCGCGTTTTTCTACGATTCCCCTTAATTTAGATACGTTAAATTATATTTTCCGTTAGATTTTATTGTAATGAGCTCATTATCATTTCGATAAAATCTAACGGAAAGTAATTTTTTATAACTCGAAAACAACAGCTGGAAAAATGTTTAAGCGTAATCCTAATGACTTATTGGAAAACACAATTATTATTATTATTAAACAACGTATGGAATTTTACTTTAAAGTATGCTCGAAATAACAAAAGTACGACTACAATTAAAACGATATATTATTCAGTCGAATTTAACCATTTTTATAATTAGTATATATATATAATGCATAATAGTATTATTAAATTCATGTAATTTGTAAACGCGTAGAGACGTGTACGTGAATAAAAAATGTACTAAGTGTATTATAAGTGTGAGCCGTTGTACACAAAGTGCATCGATAAACAATTGGCTTGTAATTTATTGAAAACCGAGATTTTCATAATCGTTTAACACGACTTTCTCGTAGAAACTGTTGAGTTTCGCACATATGAGTTCGATCGGGTCGTCAGACGACGGCCCGTCTTTGGCTCCGTCCATTTCGATCGTAAAGGTCGGGGCCGAAGGATCTCTTACCAACAGGCAGTCTTTCCGATAGTACACATCCACCGTCTTCAACTTTGGAAAAAAGGCCGTTAAACGGAAATCTGAAACCGCGTTCATATAATCACCGGCCACGGACCTGTCGCTGGTGCGGTTTGGGTCGACGACAAATCTTTCGGCAGGGTACGTTTTCGACGATTTCTCGATGAACGCGGAAACGTCGTCGACCAGATTTTCGATGACCAACGGTTTATTTCTGGAAGTATGATTGGTCGCTTTCCTTACGGTGGCCAGCGCGGACGACATTCGATCGAACATGCGACCGGACCTGTTGATCGTATCGTACAGCCGAATGGCGCAACGAATAAACTCGGTCCTGTTGTAGCTATCCCGTTCGCCTGTACAAATAAATATCAGCGAGTCCAACTTATCGATGAAAGATTGGAGTATCTCGGTGTACCTGCAACGCAAGAGTTTCGACAGATATTTACGTTTGATCCAATTGTCGTCCACGTTTACGAGGTTTACGACATCGCTAACCGTTAAATATTTACTCTTATCTCTAAGCATTATGTAATTCAGATTGTTCCAACCGTTGCTTTTCAAAATCGAGTTTAGAATTATAGCAATATTTTCTTCTTCGTCTTGAGGAGGCCTGAAACTAATAATATCGAGACGATTAATATAATTGTTTTAATTATCACATAAAAAAATAATCGGTTTCAATCGCGCAATAGCTCGACTTCAATTATTAATCAAATTAATCGGTATTAATCCCGCAATAGTCTCGATAATTACGACTGAGTACTAATTTTAAAAATCGGGCCTATGTCGTCTCTAACAATTTTTTTTTTTTTCATTATTAAATATGATGATTTTTTCAATTCATTTCAAGTTAAACATTTTTTGGCCATTTCTATAAGATTATGTCAAGTTATTTCTAACTTTAAACGATTCATAAATAATTTTTAACGGGTATTTTTTAAATTTTAATTCCAATTGATATTGGGATTCGCAACGAATTCTATTAACACCACCCACTAGTGTTTCTATTGAAATTATGATTACGTTGTTGATATAATTTTTTAATCCCAAACAACTTTGGAGGGTATCGACTTTATTGTTTTCAATGTCAATATACACGTGTTAGCTAGCCAATAAATTAATAAACTGTTCTAATTAAGAAAATGACTGATCAATAACGACTTTTCATTTATTACTTCGGAAGTTATTACCAAACTAACGTATGATAATATTTTTCATTAGACTCGTGCGTTTTTTGTCCATATCTAATAATAATTAAAAACGTTCCGAGTATCGGTCCAACAAATTTTTGTAAACCGGTTAATTAGTTAATTTTCTATTTTACGGGCTAGTTAAATATGTGTGTTACTATTTAAAGTCGACTCCGCTGCAAGAGATAAGGGATGAATTAAAAACGTCACCACTACGAGATATAAGGGATGAATTAAAAAGTAATACATAAAATAATTTATTACGATCATTGTTACGTTCTTCTATTTCCCGAGCTCGACGCGCTACAGTGGATAATGGTGCCATTCATTTACGTGTCGAGAAGTTGAAAAACTGTCTTAGACTCCCTGAGGATGGGAAATGATGAACAAGGCGACTATTACGGTCGGCTTGCGCCAGAGATCAGACGCTAACGACAAGGAAAATGTCGTTGGCACTCTGACGATCAAAGCCAAGACTTCGTGCATCTCGAAACGTACGTTTCTACTCACTAGGATGGGCAAACTCCTCGATGAAATAAGAAACGTACGATGATGTCAAAAATACCAAAAAAATTTGAGGAATCGCGAAAGCTATGAGAACAGTTACAGAAATGAACGTTTAAGTGAGAAGAGGTAAGAGAAGACGAAAAAAGAGATAGGGGGACGTTATTGAACGTGACACGAGGAGGGCTGATGTGAGCGTAGACAATGTGGTAGATTGTGTCGAGTGCAAGTCTAAGATAAATAGTACTAAATATAAAGTAAATTAATAGCATAAGTAATACTAAGTGTAAAGTGAGTTACTTAGAAAAGTAGTACCTAGTGAATATTAAGTTACTAGAACAAATAAACTTACCCTAGTAACTTGTCCTGTTATCTCAGTGAATCTCAAGTAGTTGGGATTGAGGCGAGGAAATACAAGAAGAAGATAACGATAAAAAATACATTGATCTCAATGAATTATTTAAAATATACCATCAGCGTAAATCAAACGATTTCCTCACAAGTATATTGTTTTACCTCTTCCACGAGAGAGAGTGGAGCAAGTTGCGATAAGCTAATTTTATTGACTCCCTGAGAAAGTATTCCAGAAAAAAAAATTAAATCTTTATAATATAATTGAATAATGATAAAAGAAACATGTTAATCGTAAAACATTATATTAATAGAATTATAATTATATTTAATTATAACAATAGAACAAGGAAATTTACTATAAACATCCAGCATAAACAAAAAAAAAAATTTCTAAAGCATATATTTTTTTATTTTACTAATATCAGAGGGTGTCGCACCCTCCGATATAACAGGTTGGTTCGACAGCTATAAGCATGTATTTCGAATCTCACTAAGAATAAGTACATAATACCTTAAAACTTGGTAGAAATATTACTCAATATATTTACAACAATCGTTAAATATCTAATTGATTAATATTTATTATTAATAATTAAATTCATTAATGAGGAAAAAAGATTCGGATATGTCATTATGCGCCACGCGTCAGGGCAACAAGTTTATTTAACGGGACGAGTCGATATACCATATGTTAATTTAAGCAATACTTAAAAATCGGACGACGCGCAGTCAATCCATCTACGTGTCACCCGAACAGCAAATCACCTTCTGCCTTCTTACAAAAAAAAATTGGATTCACAAGCTACAATTTTTTTAAAACCGTCAAGATCACGGCGATTTGAGCTCAGAGCAATACGCCGCGAGATCCGAATCGCACTGCTCTCCCCAACCCACACGTTTATCGTCTTTGGAATTTATTTCATTAATTATTACGCTGAACCTTACTTGGAGTTGTCGGGATCCAACAATTCCACAAAGCCGACGTCTTGGTAATCGTTTTTTATCGTCTGACCGTAGAAAGTTATCAGTGAGTTTACAATAACGTGGAGGTCAGACTCGTCGAATTCATTTGGAGCTTCTTCTTCGTACAGTGTTCGCAAATACGGCGGAACGTCATTTTTATTAATAAACATATAAAAACTGTTGCTATTCACGAGCCGCCGTAAGTCGTTTATCTGTTTAACATTTCCAAAGAAGCTTTTAATGTTTTCAAACTCGCGAATAATATCTCCGTCGCCAGCCGCCGATAATTCGGACGGATTCCGATTCGTTTTGGAATTGGCGAATTCATAAAACGGTTTGATGTCGTTTGTTATGGTCGACAGACAGTCCATATTGACATTGATGATTTTCAAATTTATCTGGCTAATAAACTGCATGGCGTCGAACAGTTTGCCGAACATGTCGGCCGACATTGTCACCGCACTGTAAAGCAGAACGGTACAATTATTGAAATGTTTCGCGTTTGCCGTTTCCAAATAAAAGCCGCACTTGTCTATGACGCGTTTAATCGTCGCGTTGAAGTACCACAGTACTTCGGTGTACCTGATATTAAGCGAAAAAGTCACGATATTCAGTACCTGTATGTAATCGTGTCTGGTCTCTTCGTCGTCCAGCACTTCGTGTATCGGATATCCGCTTAAACGTCCCACATTGGCCCGTACGTGTGCCATCAACGTCCATCCCGGCTGATCACAGAAATGATTGGCCACGTGGATGACGTACTTTTTGTATTGCATGGAATTAATTTTGCAATTCGCAAAACGGTCGTCGATTAAAATCATAAGTGAAAATAAGACGTAATTCAAACACATGGTGTTCATCGTGTCGTACGACTTGGAAATATAAAACGGACGATCGAGTGTAATTCTAAAGTTAATTTAAATATATAAATAAAGCGTAAATTATTTAAACGGTTATGAAAAAAACTTTTTCTAAAACTGTAGTATAAATATATTTATATATTTACTCGTGTGCCAACTTAAGTAAACGCACAAGTGCGTTTGGATAAATCGCATTTGAATATATAAAAAAAGTTATTAATATCGAGACTTACATTATTGAATCATCTGTACATTGTGTTTAATTTTAAAAAATCGGTGACAGATATTCCGAAATCAAAATGAACTGCTACTTTTTTTTCAAGTTCGTGTGTCATTTGCACATAGAAAATAGTTTCCAATTTTTATACGTATTTTTCAAGTTTTGAACGCCCCCCGTATAAGGGGAAATTGTACGAAATAAAAGCGTCTCATACGACAAGGTGATATATAAAGTATTTAGAAACAAATATACATAGATCAATACGTAAATTTGTGTTGATCTAAACATTTTTCGAAAATTTTATACATAAAACCAGTAATTTTTAACTACGGCAGCCATTTGTACGTAGAAGGTCGGGACAAATTTTTTTTTTTAACTTGTAAGGCATAATATAGGTTCATACAAGCCCATGTGATGTGTTACAGTAACAACATAAGCTTTGATTTAACAAATGATTAAAGGACGCAGTATTTCCGGAACATTTTCAAAAATTTATTTCGATAAGTTGACTTTTGTAAAAAAAGACACTATTTTAAATCCCTGTGGGCAGATAAAGGGTCGGAATTTCAGTTTCGAAGCTAAAAATACAATCCATAAACAACAGTGGGATAGTGCTACAATACGTTAGATGTGAAGGTCGACATAAAAAAAAACCTCGATCGGGTTTTATTATTCGTGTCGTACCTCTGACGTTAAATTCTATGGTATATCGAGATCGTTACAATAAAAATGATAAATTAAATTATAATCAAATCGTTTAATAGTAATTAATCTACATGATAACATCAACATTTATATTAACACAATTGTACAAACATGACATTATTATTATTAAAGAGTGGTTTGAATTTTACTTAGGGTAAACTTAAAATAAACAAATACAAAAAAATACAAATACAAAAATGAAATATTACTTAATCAATTTTAACCGTCTGTATAATTAATCTCTGTACATGTACGTGTATAAAAAAATATAGTCGTTGTACAAAAAGTGTTTATGTATCGATAAACAATTGGCTTGTAATTTAATGAAAACCGAGATATTCACAATCGTTTAGCACGACGTTTTCGTAGAAACTGTTGAGTTTCACACATACGAGTTCCATTTGGTCAATGGGCGATAAATTATTTTTAGCTATGGCCAATTCTAACGTATCGGTTAATTCCGACGCCTTTTTTTCTATTATGCAATCTCTAGAATTGTACGATTCCATTGCGAATAAGTAATCGACCAAAAGATTGGAATGAACATACAAAATTTCATTTAGATATTTAATGGCCACGGCTCTATTGCTGGTGTCGTTTAAGTCGATGAAAATACTTTCGGAAGGGTACTTTTTCGACAGGTTTTTAATGAATTTAGAAATATCGTCAATGAGTTTTTCGATAAGCAATTGTTTATTTCTCGCCGCGTTATGATTGGTCATTTTCCTTATGGTGATCAGCGCGGACAACAGCCGATCGAACATGTGAGAGGACCTGTTGATCGTATCGTACAGTCGAATCGTGCAATGAATAAACGAAGTCGTGTTGTTGCTTTCCTGTTCGTCTACACAAAGAGATAACAGCGAGCCCAACTTTTCGTTGAAAGATTGGAGTATCTCGGTGTACCTGCAACGCATGAATTTCGACAGATATTTTCGTTTAATCCAATAGTTGTTCACTTTCGCATTCACGAGGCTTAAGAAATCGCCAACGGTTATTAATTGATTTGATTGTATAAGAGTTATGTGATTTAGATTGTTCCAACCCTTTTTATTCATAATCGAGTTTAAAATTGTAAGATATTCTTCATCCTTGTCTGTGGGATGCCAGAACCTAAAAACATCGAGACAATTAATTAAAATTATTTTAATTATTACAAAAGAAAATAATCGGTTTCAATTGCACAATAGTCTCGATTATTATGATAGAGTATTAACTATAAGACAGTTTTATGTCGTGTCAAAAGTTTTTTTTTTCTACTATTGAATATAGTTCAATAATATTTGATTATAATAACATTTTTTTACATTTTATAAGTTATAAATTTAGGTTTTAAATAAAGATGACATTTGAAATTGTAAGTTTGTACAATTTTGAAACTAATTTTTTTGTGTAAAATGTATTGGAACCTAAAATTTTGTTGTTACTTTTTAGATAATTTTTGTTTTTTTTTTTATTTTAAAATCTATATTTGTAACATTAAAAGGTAATATTTCAGCTTATTCGGATCAAGAGACGTCATCGGGGTGAGTCAGGGTGGGCAGTCGCACCCCTTACTTTTAAAACAGTCCCATTTGACCTGCATAATAATAATTAATGCACCAATTTTTTATACATCAATTCAATATCAAAAATATTGTATTGTCATGGTTTAATAAACAAATGTTCAGGTAACAATTAATTGAGTAAACAATAAACCTATCATATTCCCTGTAGATAGGAGATAAGAATACTTCCACGGCCCCTCTGCCAGTCATAAGAGGCTACTAATGAGGTTGCGTCAGGTCGACAGCCGGCATAAAATTTTTGTAAAATTGTATGAGGTGTCCTGAACAAAACTGTTGGCGAATTGTCCTATCTCGGATGTACGCGGGTACAACAGGTGAAAGGGAATAAAGTATTTAAAAACGGAGAAGGTCTAAGGAATAAAGTGTTTAATATCAACCGGAAAACTTTTGCGGTAGCTGTCTCACCAGTCATGTGTACAGGTCTACCTGACGCTTGTAGTGTCAACGATGTAAGGACATCACCACTTGATGTGAAAAAAAGTGGAAAGAGTATTTTGAAAAATTACTGAATGAGGAGTACCCAAACGAGGCATTAGAGGATATCTAGTGGAATGAGGGACTGGTAGATATAATTAGTGAGAAAGAGGTATGGGAGGCTGTGGCATCAATGAAAAAGAATAAAGCAGTAGGACTAGAATAAGTTCCAGAAGAAGTATGGAAAATATCAGGCAGTGTTGGCATAAGGTGTTTGGAGGAACTTTTAAATAAAATCTTATTAGAAGGGAAAATTCCGAATGAATAGTATTATGATGCCAACATTTAAAGGTAATGGTAACATACAAGAGTGTTGAAATTATAGAGGCATAAAGCTTATGAGTCATAGTATGAAAATTTGGGAAAAGATATTAGATAAGAGAATAAGAAATGAGACATGGGTATCTAAAAACTAGTTTGGATTTATACCTGCTAAGTCAACAATGGAGCCAGTATTTTGTGTGAGGCAACTAATAGAAAAGTTTAGGGAAAAGAAGAAAAAGCTATGTATGGTATTTATAGATTTGGAGAAAGCGTATGATAGAGTACTGAGACTGGTCAATAATGAGAAAAGGAGTCCCGAAATGGTTCATCAATAAAAAGAAGATATGTATAATACTATCGATACGTTATTGATAAATGTAAAAATATAAATGTCAGAAGCAGTTGATGGTTAAAAAAAAGTCGAATGGCTAGGTTCAAACGAATCACGTTTTCCTTTTTATTTGTTTAATGTTGAAAACGAGAACAAATTAATAAAACATACCTAATATGTGCATGAGTCAATTCATATAGTAGAATATTCGGAGAGCCCTATAATTATTCTAGCCCGCCGAAATCATCTCGACGCGCGCTACAAATCGCCCAACCCTCCCCTACCCCGTTATTCCTTTAAAATTTATTTTATTAATTATTACGCTAAACCTTACGTGGAGTTTTCGGGATCCAACAGTTCCGCAAAGCCAATGTCTTGGTAATCGTTTTTTATCGTATGACTGTAGAAATTCATCATTAAACTTCCGATAACGTCGAATTCATTCAGAGCTTCTCCTCGTTCGTGGGGCCTTTGCAAATATAGCGGAACGCGATTTCGATTCACGTCTGAAGACGAACAATGATTGTTGACGAGTGTGTGCAAGTCGCCGGTCTTTCCGATATCGTTAAAGAAGCCTTTGATGTTTTCGAACTCGCGAAAAATATCTTCGTTGCTAGCCACTGATAATTCAAACGGACTCCGATTCGTTTTGTAATTGGCGAATTCGTAAAACGGTAGAATGCGCTCCGTTATCGTCAACGGAGATTCCATATTGACGTTGATGTTCTTCAAATTTATTTGGCTCATATACTGCAAAGCGTCGAACAGTTTGCCGAACATGTCGGCCGACATTGTCACCGCACCGTAAAGCAAAACGGTACAATTATTGAAATGTTTCGCGTTTGCCGTTTCCAAATAAAAGCCGCACTTGTATATGACGCGTTTAATCGTCTCGCTGAAGTAATACAGTATTTCGGCGTACCTGCAGTTAAGCGAAAAAATTATCAAGTACAGTAGTTGTTGGTAATTCTTACGCAACCCAATATCGTCTACAACCGCTTGGCATGTAAAATGTTCGTATAGAATTCCCTTTTTGACCATTACGTGTGGCATCGATTTCCATCCTTGTTGATTACAGAGATGACTTAACACGCCGACGATGTAATTTTTGTATTCGGTTGCTTTGATTTTGCAATTTACAAAATAGTGACTGTTTAAAATCACAAGTGAAAACAAGACGTAGTAAAAGCACTTCATTTTCTTCGTGTCATAGAACTCGAAAATACAAAACGGATAATTTATTTTATCTCACAAAAAATATCTACCACATAAATTATTTAAATAGTTACAAAAAAAAAATTTCTCAACCAATACCGTCAACAGTTTTAATACTCAAATGTGTTTGGATAAATCGATATTTACGTATTAATGTCACGTCGTATAATTATCAATACACTATTTTTAAGCGTGGCCTTTAAAAAACTATTATTAATCGCTATTAAACTCGTAATTTTATTTTTCACCAAACAATGAAATAATCGAATCTCCATTAGTAAAACGGCGAATCGTATTATTAGCATATTAGCGTATTTTAAATTATTTAATGTTTTAATTCGCCCGAACCTGGTAGAGAATAACTTAGCTATATCGAAGAAGTCGTTACTGCACACTCTTTCAGCCTGACCATTAGCTTTAAGAATACATGTAGCTCTCTAAAGATTTTGAGAGCTAGAGTTCTATATATATAGAGAGAGAGAGTACTACAAATAGTGTATACGGTTTAGTAATAACAGAAAAATGTCCAAAAATTAGATAGTCGTAGAAGCGAATCGCTCGGTCTCAGTCATACTGTGGGCCCCATCGGTTATGTCATACGTCATTGTCCGGGATAGCAGTCTGTGAAGTTCGATTGTATTTGGTTGTTGACTCGCTCCACTCCGCGATTGCCCCATACGACGCTTTTCGTTCTTTTTTTAACAGATTAACACATTTGATTTACATTACCTTGCTCAATTATTTGCTTTAAATTCCAACTCGTATTTGCTCGTTCCACTTATGAAAACCTATTATTTTAGATTGTTAAATTTGAATAATATAATTTTTATATTGAAGAACAGAACAAACCACTTGGTCTATTCATTTATAGATAAAATTATAAATTTTATCCAATCCGATCTCTCGGGATCTTTTTCCACTCTACTAATTATATCTTCCAATTACTTACTTAGTCAATTGGGATTTTAAATTTGCATAACAGTTAGCACAATGAACAACCAGTTATTTCGGTCAAATAATCTCTGACCTATTGAAACACCGATTGGTCATTACTATTATTGTAATTTTTCTTATTTTCGATATCTTTGCTCGATATTGCATGTACATTATTAGACAACATATTTGCAATGGTGGGTGTTAACTAGTTAAAAGGTTGATTTTTTCTTTAACTTTTCAGCTCGACTATTTTAATTTTCCGCTGAAATAACTTAGCTTTTTTCCCGCTAATTAGTTCAAATAACAATTAAGCTAAATTCAAAATTTCATAAAAAATGTAAGTCTTTATACAGAAATTTAATTTAAACGAAAATCAAATTTTCCCTTATAAATATATTACAAATATTATATTTATAGAACAATAAATATAATTATATGGATTTTTCAGAAAATGTATGTGATTTTTAACTGATTTTTTTTTTTAATATGTAATTTTAAAGATAAAATAGCGAAACCAACACAAAACGAATAAAAACATTTTTTGTCGTCATTAATATTTTTTTCTGTTCAGTTCTAAAAGTCGAAAATCGATTCTCAATTTTCCCTTGCATCGCCAACCGGTAAAAAATGATTTTAAGAAATTTTAGCCAAAAAATTAATTTAATATGAAAAAACCCAGCACAGTGGGGCGCGGCATAGTGAGGACGTTGCATAGTTTGGTCCAGTATAGATTTAATCTGACAATGATTAAAATCACTATCATAAGAAACGCTTTGATGCAAATCTGTAGATAGTGTGTTATTCTAAGAAATTGATGGACAATTACAAAAGCAACATCAACTTCTATTTCCTTAATTATACCCAGATTAGTAATTCTTTTAAATATATAGTATATAATTTTTAAAATTAACTGTTTACAAATTATTATTGATTTTGATTTTTACCATGTTAAAAGTAATAATTTTGAAGCTACTTTTTTTTGTCCTTTAAAGTGAAGGTTTTAATAAAAAAAAAATGAATTTGTTACCATAAATTATAGTTCAACTTGCAAGTTTGAAATTGACATTATTAAATAGGAAAAAATGAAACTGTTAAGATTTATATGCAATAATGAAATTTTATAATTACTATTTACAGTACATTTATTAGAAAAATTCGATTTTTTGCATTTTTATCGTAATAGATAACTGAAATAGAAATAATAGTAATCATTTCATAATAACTTTTGGTGTTTAAAAAGATTCTACAATTGAAATATTCAAAACTTAATTAATTTTAATGATTTACTTTAACTAAACGAACCAATCAAAACAAATTTGTTAAAAATATTTACTCATTTGAGCGTATTATAAAATTTGATTATAATTGTAAAAATCCATCCTTAAAATTAGGTGAAACTAAAAATCATTTTTTTTTTCGAAATTTATGATTTATATAGCAACATATTACAAAACAATTTAGAATATTATAGACTGGTAGTAGCACACACAAATAGAGTTAAAAAATTAATAAATAACAATGTAAAATTATTTACATTTGTAGTTGAATACTTTTATCATATCAAATCTAATTTGACAATAAATACTTTAAGAATATTAGAAATTAATGATTTTAATTGTTTCTATGGAAAAAACTGATTAAGCTACTTTTTATTTGAATAAAGAATATTTTTTTGATTTTTAAGAGTAATAACTTAAACTAAATACGAATTGTAATAATTTGACGTATTGTTGAAAAAAGTAGGTCTAGTGAATGTTGACAAAATAAATCGTAGCCACAAAAAAAACTACATAGTAAAATAATATTAACATAAATATAGATTTCTTCTCACGAGGGGAGACTATAGTGATAGGATCCCTTATATTTATTGAAGTTATTGAATCTAAATGAGATAAATATCAAATGATTTGAAAATTTTATTCTAACTCAAAAAAAAATGCAAAATATTAATTGCCACAGACCGATTTAAACCTCTTACCCTATGCATGAAAGACACAAGTGTTACCGATTCGGCAACTGTTCGTCGCTTTCGTCGCATTTTAAAATTAGCTATTTAAGCTAAGTCAAATTTAAAAGTTACTTTTTTGACTTTAAAAAAGCAAAAAAATTTAAATAATTTAAATTTTTTATGTCTTATGAACTTTATTCTATGTCAATTAAATTATATAATATTCATGAAAGTCAGAGTATTCCCCTAATAAGATATTTTAAAATAAAATAAAATAAAAAACCCAGGATTTTAATACAAAAATAGCATATTTTTGAATACGGTAGCCATTTGCGCATAGAAGATAGGTCGTCGGGACATATTTTTTTTTTTTAATTTTATAGTACATGACATAAGCTTTAATTTGACATATGTTTAAAGGACGCTGTATTTCCGGAACATTTTCAAATGTTAAGTTGAAAAAGTTAGTCAAAAGATCACAAATCGTATTCATTACCCTCAAAAATTGAAAAAATTTCCCTCGTTCCTTGTAAATGGGGACATCATATTGGCAACTATTATACAAAAATTCAAATAAATAACTTGCGTAGGAAATATTTCATATTTCTATAAAAAAATTAAAACTATTTTGTAGATATTGAACTAACTAAAATGGAACGTATTAAAAATAAGTCAATAGTATAACTAATAAATTTCATTATATTTTATAGGTTTTACATAAAAATGTGTTTTTTACAGAGAAATTATAATGAAATAAAAAAACGGTATCACAGTGGGGTCGCGGCATATTGGAGACATTACATAAGTAGGTCCAGTATAGATTTAATCTGACAGTGATTAAAATCTCTATCATAAGAAACGCTTCGATGCAAATCTGTAGATAGTGTTTANAAGTAGGTCCAGTATAGATTTAATCTGAAAGTGATTAAAATCTCTATCATAAGAAACGCTTCGATGCAAATCTGTAGATAGTGTTTAATTTTAAAAAATTGATGGATAATTGCAAAATCAAATTCAAGTTTTATTAAAATAAAATACATAATTTTAATACAAAAATAGCATATTTTTGAATACGGCAGCCATTTGCGTATAGAAGATAGGTTGTAGGGACAATTTTTTTTTTTCATTTTTTAGTACATAAACTAAGCTTTAATTTTATATATGTTTAAAGGACGCAGTATTTCCGGAACATTTTCAAAAATTAAGTTGAAAAAGTTAGTTTTTGTAAAAAAGTTGCTATTTTAAATCCCCCCCCATGAGCAGGTTAAGTGTTAAATTTTCAAAAAAATTATATCAAATGAAAGGAAAATATCTAAGGTTTTAGTTTAAAAAAAAATTATGTTGATTTGTTGATTTTTGAAAAAGTTATGGAAGTTTTAAGGAAAAAAAGTGAAAAAAATGACAAAATTTGTCGATTTTTAAATTTGTAATTTTTTTGGATATTTCCCCCATTTGCGGNAATTTTTTTTTTTTATTTTATAGTACATAAAAAAAGCTTTAATTTGATATATGTTTGAAGAACGTAGTATTTCCGGAACATTTTCAAAAATTAAGTTAAAAAAGTTAATTTTTGTAAAAAAGTTACTATTTTAAATCCCCCCCAATGAGCAGGTTAAGTGTTAAATTTTCAAAAAAATTATATCAAATGAAAGGAAAATATCTAAGGTTTTAGTTTAAAAAAAAATTATGTTGATTTGTTGATTTTTGAAAAAGTTATGGAAGTTTTAAGAAAAAAAAGTGAAAAAAATGACAAAATTTGTCGATTTTTAAATTTGTAATTTTTTTGGATATTTCCCCCATTTGCGGGGAACGAGGGAAAATTTTTAAATTTTTAAGGGTAATGTCTTCAACTAGATACAATTTGTGATCTTTTGACGTATTGTTAAAAGAAATCNCGGGGAACGAGGGAATTTTTTTCAATTTTTAAGGGTAATGTCTTCAACTAGATACGATTTGTGATCTTTTGACGTATTTTTGAAAGAAATCGGTCCAGTGAGAGCTGAGAAAAAATGGCAACAGACATAAAAAAAAAAAAAAACACACATCATAGTAAAATTAATACCTTCTCCGCTTCGCATCGAAGCTAAAATATTATTGAGAATACATCACAATTTGTATATTCACCATTGTGGTTTCATTTACACTTCGTGTAACTTTTTCTTTTACATTATCATATAGTTACCACACATTCATTGGATGTCTGTATGTATGCGCATGATAATGTCTCAGGATTTCATGGGAACTAGCATGCTGTTGGTTATCTGGTGTACTTATCAGTCCTCGTAAAAAAAAATCAGTATCATTTATTTTTAAAAACTTTGGTACATGGTTTAACTGAATATGTGTATCGGCAAAATTACTTGCTGATGAATTGTTCAGATTAATCAAATTAAAAGATATATGTGGTCCATACTCTATTGTTCTTACAAGTTTATTTGAACAAATGTGACACAAGTTATCCTCTGTTAGTTTATTTACGTCTTTGATAAATTTAATGTTTAGTTGTCGCAATGTAGGTTTTTTTTCTGTTATAACAACTCTAATATATAGTATATTTTCATTATTTGTCATAACTGTACAAGAATTACACAAATCTGTGACTTTGATAGATGGGTAATTATTTAAAATCTTAGATAGAAGATTGTCAGCTGCGCTTTCTACTAATAAATATATAATACCATTCGGCATAGGTACTCAAAAAAATTTTTTTTTTTAAATATCAGCTCTTTTTTTGTACGTTTGTGCAGTGACACCATCACGAAGCATGTTGAGCACTAGTAGCCAAAATTTTTCAAAGTCTTTATTTTGTGAAACAAACATCAAGTATTTAGTACTATCCGAACAAAATACTGCTAAAATTTTAA